AAAGTCAGAATTCTGACTTTTTCCCATGTTAAACTGAAATAAAATTTAAAAATCAGTTAACTTTTTTTTTTTCCAGTGGCCCTAATCCTCTTCCGTACCAAAGACTTATTTAATATTTGATATCATAAAACGATAGACTGACTATTCTCAGGCGACCACAACATTTGGAAAAGTGAACAACCACACAAAGCAATGGGAATTCCATAAAAATTGGAATTGAGCATTAAAGCTTACAGTGTGAATGTAGCCGATGTCGGCATTTTTTATGCTTCTTAGTGAATTCCCTGACTCCCTGAAGCCCCCACCACTTGATTCTCTTCTCTCTGATCTCCTCTCATGTCTCAGGTCAGCTGACCTCCTTGCCTCGATCATAACTTACTTTAACATGTTCAGTCTGGTTTGCAACGCAAACAGATCGCAACACACAAAAATAGGCAAACTATTGAGATGAACTGAAAACAATGAATACTTCCTGTAGATGCATAAAAGTCTGTACTGCGATGTGATGCAAGGTGACACAGAATGAACATAAAAAATTAAGTTAACAATTTTCCACATTAAGGATAAGAAAGACCCTAACCCAGATGTGAGAATCTGTGATAATTTAAGGTGGAATGTTTGCTGTGTATCCAAACAGAGCGGATGTTTCTACGTTCTAATTGGCAGAATGGAATTAGCGTGTTAGCCTGGAAGCTAATTTAATGAGCTGACTTGTAGCAGAGCTGACAGTTAAACCAGCGGTGGGAAAATGGGTTGTTGCCCCCCCCCCCACCACACACACACAGACAAACCTTGTCTACCTATCACTGTGGGGCCTTTCCATTAATTTCTGCAACCTAACTGTGACCCCTGACCCTAACCACTGCAGGTTCATACCTCACCCTAACCTCGACCTAAACTCTCCCCAAAAAGTAAGAACACATGTGTCCTTGTTTTAAGTACTAACTGAAGACCTTGAATTTACCATTTTTCTTTCATTTTCACACTTTCAATGACCCAACCCAAACCTAACCATTCTCATTACAAACCAAACCTAAACCTCAATGACACCTTAGTCCTAGACCTCTGGCCCCATCGAGGACCAGAGAAAGGTGCTCACTTCACATCAAGTCCTTTACTTTACTAATAAAGTATAAAACTAATTCTATCTCAGTAAACAAGTATGTATGGTTGGGTTAACCACTGTAAAACTTTCTCTGGGGTCTTCTGTGTTTCCATGGTGATGATCCCCTGGAGACAACAATTTACTGAGAGCTCGTCTGAACGTGACATGTCCTTTTCAGTAGCTGTATTGTTTCTGTGCTGATTTATAGACATTTGTTGCCCTTTACCATCTTCTCCAAACTTTCAGTTTTGATTGGCCAGTTTTTAACGATTAATTCATTTAATGTCTAAATTCAAAAGTAAACCAGGTTTAAGCAACCGCTTTGTAAAAGTTAAGACAAAAATGTCTAAATGCCTTTTTCTAAAGCATGTTTCCACCTGACTAGCAGTTTTTTCCTTTCCTCTTGTGTTTCTCTTTAAACAATCTCTAGATCCCACAGTCGGTCCATCCCTCTTCCCACCCATGGGGCGTTCCTGAAACGCGCCTAAATCCAATCATGACTGAGCCCTGTTACCCATCCCCACATTTTTTTTACTTTCTCCTGCTTCCTCTCACTTATCCACTTGAGCTTGCAACAGTTGAAAGGGTTCTAGTGGGGGGAGATCAGACGAGCAAAGGAAAGGAGGGAACGGGAATAGAAGGAAGCCATGCAAACAGTGGGGCAACCCGGGGGTTTTGTTTAACAGGCCTAATCACAGACCAGCAAAAACTGTTTGGTTTTGACTCATCCCTGGAGGGAAACCAAAGAGGACAAAATCTACCATACCTGGCAGAAAAGACATCAAGCTGTGGGCACAGACAAAGAAGAAAATAACATCGTTAAAGTGGACAAATACTTAGAGGTGCAAGGAAGCGAGGAATTGTCGAGTAAGCAGCAGCAACAGCTCAAAGACGACCTGAAAAGAACTGAAGCAGCCTTAGTCCAGGCGAGATTAGACAGTAAAACAAAGTGTTAGAGGGACGATGGCCAACTCAGGTCTTCAGTTGTTGGGCTACTTTCTAGCGTTGGGTGGTTGGATTGGAATCATCTCTACCACCGCACTTCCTCAGTGGAAGCAGTCATCCTATGCCGGGGACGCCATCATCACAGCTGTAGGTCTGTATGAGGGGCTGTGGATGAGCTGCGCTTCCCAGAGTACAGGACAGGTGCAGTGCAAGATCTTTGACTCCATGCTCTCCCTGGACTGTAAGTACAATGTTTGCTTTGATTTGTTAAACCACTCTGACATTTTTAAATTATAGAGGAAATAATCATCTGGTTAGCTTCAACTTCAGGGACGTCTCAAAGTTCTTAGACGCCTTCATTTCAGGTGGCTGTGAATAAAAGCTGACTGACTGATACATCCTTTAGAAAGGTTGTTTTCACATTTTCACTCTCCGTAAGTCACACAGGTTTCCAAGCTCTAAATCTCATTTTAAATCTCTAATGAACGAATATGGTTAGCTACGGAAGAGGATTAGGGCCACTGGAAAAAAAAAAAAATGAGTTAACTGATTTCTAAATTTTATTTCAGTTTAGTATGAACTGAAATAAAAGAATTCTGACTTTGATCTCAGAATTCTGACTTTTTTTCCATGTTAAACTGAAATAAAATTAAAAAATCAGTTAACTTTTTTTTTTCCAGTGGCCCTAATCCTCTTCCGTAGTTAGCTGATATGAGCCTCTGGTTAATCTTCTAAAAGGACTCATTCACTGAATTATGGATTATATTCTTTAGCCTGACCTTATGTCTGCTCGTTGGTTTATAGATTCATGATAATGACAGATAATGAAACAGTGTGGAAGGAGAGAGCTGTTGAGCCCAATCAAAGCTCCATCACATTAAGAAATAAACAAACTTAAATAAAAGTGGTTTTAAAGGAGAACATAAATTGTGTATTGAGATATTTTCAGTCTGAGTCTGGATGTTTGTATTATCCCTGTGTAGGAATATCAGCTTTAACCAGAGCAAAAGGGCGGTGCTGAGGCAAACACTCAAGATATTCCTAAAATAAGTTCTGTCTCCGCTATAAACACTGCAAAAACGATCTAGAAATAAGTAAAAATGTCTTAAATTAAGTGTATTTCCCCTTAATTTGAGTCGGTAAATACGATGCTTTGCCAATGAAATTAGTATCTCTACTCTTAAAATAAGATAATTAGATAATATGAACTTTAAATAAGACAATGCAATTGTTTTTTCTTATTTTAAATGTAAATTGTCTTGTTCCATTTCCAAAGTGTCTCACTTTCATCCTCAATTGGAGAAAAAATGCACTTACTTTAAGAAAAAATGACTTACTTAGATTTCCATTTTTTGCAGTGAACATCACAGCAATCCCTTTCAAACCATGATCTATGAGTTATCTCACAGAGAAATAGGATTGCATTGACTGCGAGCTCAGAGCAGCAGGGAGGAATCTGGCAGTGAGCAGATGATGCCTTCTGATCTTGACGTTTTCACCACAGGAGCTTCATGTGACACTATGTTCACCAGACTGTGCTCTGTCTGCTTGAACTATCCAAACAGAAAGTATTACTTGGTTAACTGAGCTTCCTTTTCATCATCAAAACCAAGCTAAAAGCTGCTCTTCCTTTGGATGTAGTGCTGAAAGGAAAGTTTGCTGCATCTACACAACTTCTATCCAATAACCTGATTTATTGGTTGATTTAACTGAACTAATAAAGTCCAGTTATTTAGACATTGGAAATACTTCTGATGCTGTTCTTTGTGACGTATTTTCTAAAGACAGCAGTGGGTTTCTACGGAAGAGGATTAGGGCCACTGAAGAAAAAAAAAAAGTAAACTGACTTTTAAATTTTATTTCAGTTTAACATGGGAAAAAAGGCAGAATTCTGACTTTTTTTCCTCAGAATTCTGACTTTTTTTC